CTGCAAAGCCCATATTCTTTCCACCTTAGCATATTGCTTGATAAATTGACAGTGTCCCTCCTGGCCACACTTAGACAAAGTTATGTTAAGGGCCCAGGTAACTTGTCCCTCTCTCCCCCTTCCAATTTGCAGCCCCTCTTCCCTCCCTCTCTCCCTCCTCCCTCCCTCCCTCTTCCTTCCTTCCTTCCTTCCTTCCTTCCTTCCTTCCTTCCTTCCTTCCTTCCTTCCTTCCTTCCTTCCTTCCTTCCTTCCTTCCTTCCTTCCTTCCTTCCTTCTTCACGTCTTTTAATGGATGCTGATGCCCTGGGGCCTATGGCTGATTTTTCAGTGTGGATGCATGGCAGCGAACCAAGCTTTAGCTTGTTTATGATTTCAGCCTAAACGGTGCCAACTCCTATACCTTTAAGGTCCCTGGTCTCTAACAGAGATGAACCTAATCAAGTATTCTCAACAGAGCCCTCCAGGCAATGGTGTCACATTTGTACTTGACAGAGACTTTCAGTGTTTTACTTTTAATGACAGGCTACTGGTGGAAGAGACTAGCCCAGGGTCAGGCACACAGGGGTCAGCAGGCATATTCATTTCCTAGGGCTGCCACAGCAAATCATATTAACTGGATAACTTGAAACAACAAGGTTTATTCTCTTACAATTGTGGGTCCCAGAAGTCCAGATTCAAGGTATCAGCAGGTTTGGTTCCTTCTGGGGGCTCTGAGGGAGGATCCATTCCATGCCTCTGTTTAACTTTTGCTATTGCTGATAGAACTTGGCTTTTCTTGGCCTGTAGCTGCTTAAGTCTAAAGTCTGCCCTTATCGTCACCTGGCCTTTTTCTCTGTGTGTCTGTGTCTCAAAGCTATGCCTCCTTTCTCTTTTAAGACACCGGTCATTGGATTGGGGTACATCCTAAATTCAGAATGATGTTATTCTGAAATAGTTATGTTAATTACATCTGCAAAGATTCTATTTCCAAATAAGTTTGCATCCACAGATATGGTGTGTGGGGCCTTAGGACTTGGACAATCTTTTTGGGGGACACATTTAGCCTATTATAGAAGGGTATTTTGGGGCCCTACAAGTCACACCCTTGGGTTGAGATTATTCTTCCTCACCGAGTATAGAGTCCTTGCTATGGTTGATATCTTACCAAATTCCCTGGAAAGACTTTATGGGGGCTATCTTTGTAGTGGAGACTCACGTTCACTCATTACTTAGCTAAGGTACTTATCAAAAATCATAAAACATAAGAAGAAGCTGTAGGTCTACTGATTCCTGGTCTTCCAAGGATTAAGCTGTATCTAGGGCAGGCGGGCTGTTACAAAGCAGGGGCTAATGTGGAGGGGGCATTCCAGGGCACTTCTGCTGCACTGTAGTTTGTGGTTTACAGCCCTTTCAGGGCAAGGATGGCACCCAAATTATCTATCCTGAAGTGGCTTTGCTTGCTTTTTGGTCTGTTCTTAGTTACCTCAAGTCCTTCCAAAAGATGGGGGCATGTGCAACCATGCAAATAAAGAAGGGGAGAAAGTTCTGAGCTTCTCTTCCCTGGGAGCTGCCACGGGCAGAGGCGTGGTCTTGCTCTGGCCCAGGTCGCAAAGGCAGAGCTTTACTACAGCCTGCCTCTGCTGGGTAGTCTCTTGACTCATTCTCAACTCCAAACACCTGTAATTTAATTTTAAATATCTTTAATCATCTGGCTGCTTAAACCACCTCTTCCCAGCCTGACTTCCACCAAGCCAACCACCTCTAGGACCTTCTCTTCTGTGGCTTTTCTTCCTGTCTGCACTGGGCACATGTCCTTCTGTTCAACTCCATTTAAGTCTTACAGGGGTGACATAAGTTGCCCCATGTCTCTGTAACTTGGGCAGTGGCCAGGGCCTCTGGCTTGTAATCAGTGGCCTTTCCATGTCCCACAAGCTGTCTGATTTCTGATCTACAGCACTGGTTAGTATGGGGAGACTAGCCTAGGAAAACCCATGCTTACTTGCGTGGATGACCCCCAACTTATTGGAGCACTGCCAAGGTGGGGAGAAGCACTTTGTGACCCCAAGGCAGGACCTGTGCAGACGGTGGGGAGAGAAGTACTGAGGGTGAGGATGCACGCTAAGAAAGTCCTCCAGGTTGCTAGCTAGTTGCTATTTGCTAGGTATTGTGCTAAGTGCTGTACTCACCTTATTAGCTCATTTTCCATATGAAGTGTGGCTCTAAGAAGATATGTGATTTAGCACCTGAGAGGCTGAAGTGGGAATCAAAGGTAAGTCTGTCACCAATGCCAGATTGGCCATAAAGATTACTAGAGGGCTGTTGGGGACATCTCATAGAAGAGAGGATTAAGACTGTGCCCTACCCTGTTCCCTAGTGCCTCATTTGTTCCCAAATAACACCGTGTGAAACACCCCTGGGCTACCTGGGCATCTGCAAAAGCCATAGGAGCAGGCCCAGCCCCTGAGGCTGCTGGGGGTGTAATCTCAGAACACCACACTGGCATTACTTCCTGAGAAGCTGGTACTACTACTTTAATGTGAGTGGGGAGGGCCCCTCCCAAACCTGGCAGAGCCTCACAATCACTTAGGAAGGTATGGCTCATCTTGGCCCCACTCTGGCCATGGAGATGTGACCTGCTTGTCTGAGCCACTCTTCAGGAAGTAGCTGCACAGCAGGTGAGGGATCTCATAGCATCTTATGCTAGCCCAGAGAAATAGAGGTCACCCACATCATCTGACTTCCAGGGGAGGTAGAGATGAGTGGCAGCCAGTGGTCTCTAGAGGGAACATGATGGAGGCTGGTGAGCAGGGCCTTCTAACCAGAGAACCCTGAGTTTGGGTCCACTCACATCGCAGGAACCATAATTTCCTCATTTGAACGATGAGCACAGCAATCCCCATTACAGAGCAATGGGGGGTAGCGCCACTTCAAGGCACTGCAGGATCAAATTTGAGAACCAAAGCAAAGAACCTGAGTGGGAATCAGACCTTTCAGGTTCTTAGCAAATGATAGCCATTAATTAGAGGCCACACCAGAGGTGGACAGATGGGCCTTGGAGCTAAGCCGTTTCACTCCCACAGTGGTTCTCTCCCATCTGCATCCATAAGAGGACTGTTGGATCATCATAATACAATCTTAGCATAGAGTCACTGCTGAGCACCAGACAGCACTGTCTTTATCAGGGCTTCCTTAGATGGAGGCCCATTCTTCTCTGATTTTGTCCTACAGTGAGGAAGGGACACAGTGCCAGAGTCCACATCTGCAAGACCCTGGCTGTCTTTCACAAGCTAGAAATAGGGCAGAATGCTGGGCAGGTGCTTGTCCTATCCACACTGTCTTGTGTTACCAAAGGAGTGATAATTTGCTCCTGGACTTGGTCTTTAATTCTGATATTGCAAGGGATGTTGTCGGGGACAAGAGATGGTTTGAAAGTTGGTGGAAGAAAAACTCCTGATAAAATGCCACCCTATGCCAGAAGCTTCTCACATAATCTCACTTAATGCTCACTTCCACCGTCTGGGGAGGGGTGCTGGCCACCTAGAGCCAATTCTGTTTGGACTTCATTTAAGGTTGTTTCCCCTTTGGTTCACTCCTAAAACAGCCAATAACTGAGCAAAGATGATCCAGACATAGGTACAGGTGAGTAGCTGTGGCTCCCTTCAGCTTCTGTTGGTGCTCGGAGGAAGCTGAGGTGGGAGGAGAGGATTGCAGACTTCCTGCCTCCTAAGCCATCAGTCACGTCAACACCCAGGAGACAGTCTACCACATAATGACACTGCTACTCAGAAAGTCACCTCACTTGGGCCACATGTTGGGCTTTTAGACCTTGACCCCTTTGTTTCGCTGGGGCAACCTTCCTGTCTACACCTGGGCTGCCAGGCCTAGTTTTCCATGGGCCTGCTGGGCTGGGCTGGAAGAATCACTGTTCTCAATAGCTGTTGACCATGTACTTCCAAGTGGCTACCCATCACCTATGGTCAAATTCTGTACATTGCAACTTTGTTACCAGGACTTTGCACTACCTAGGCCCATTTTACATGGAAGGTAAGCCATATCACAGCCAGATCAGTTGCTCTCCTGGTTGTCTGTTTCTTCCATTCAGCTTTGGTCATGACTGAGAGACCACCTTGGAAGGAACAGATTCCTGAACCAGGGAGATTGGCAAGTGAATACTCTTAGTTTACGAGTATTCACTAGCTGGCTCATCTTGGGCAAGTCACTCTAAAGCTCAGACCTCACTGTTCTGAGGTGAGGTTGAACTATGTCTAGGACAGGGCACAGGCTTTGGAGGGAACTGAAAGCTGTCTGGCTTCACAGAGTTTCTCCCTAATTGCTTTCAGGTTCAATATCCTCAGCTGCAGAGTGGGAAAACTATTTTGTCCCTTGCAGGACTATGGAAGTGACTGAAGGGGAACATCCGGCAAGGAGGGTCTGACAGCTATTTTTTTCTTCTTTTTCACTTTTCAACAACCTCCATCCTCCAGGGTCAAGCTCCAGTCTTCTCTGCAGCCTAACCCCTTGTCCTCCCCCGGGTCCTCATCTCCCTTACTCTGCTCATTTTTGCCTGCCCAAATATCTGTGGCCACACTTCCCCTGGTCCTTTGAGACAGCCCCATGGCAGATGCAGACTTCATTCCTTGTTCCTTTGCTCTGGAACTGTGGACTGGTTGGATCTGAGACAAACCTCAAACACTTGTCAGCCCTGCCTTCCTTGGAGCATGAGGCCAGCAATGTTTCTGATAGAGGGCTTACGCAGTGGCAGACTGAAGTGTCTGCCCGCCCGCCTGATGGGTGCAGCTAGAACTGGGAGGGGGAAGGGAATGGGAAAGGTCACTCCTATAACCCTTTTCCTCCCCACAGGAGGTAAGCATACTCCAGGCCTGGAACAGATGGGATCGCCAGCCTCACACTCCTGGCAGAGAAGAGCTCAAAGGCTTCCAGACAAATTCTTTAGAAAAAGGAAGTGAACAAGTGACACTAGAGCAGAATAAATTATTTCAAGAAACCAGATTACCAAAGACTTAAAGTAACAAATTCAGTTTTAATTGACCTGGAGACAAAAACTACTCAGCCAGGTCAGTAACCATTTCAGCTCCTTAATCTGTTAAAGCTGTATCCTGGACAGTGTTAAGGAAGAGGGTCGATTCCGTATCTTACTCCATCCACAGCATTAGAAGAACAAGGGAAGATGACCAGTTTAGGTGAAATGCATGGCTGGCAGCCAGACCCTGTCCCTAGATCCCATACTTCTTCTTCAGTTCCTCTACTTTGCTGATGTAAGCTTTCATGGCGTCTTCCTTGGAAGTCCCTGTAAGGAACCAACAGACTGTCAGAGAGGCGGCATGGCAGAAAAGCAGCAGCTTTAGAGCCCCAGACAGCCCCGTTTTAACACTCTGAGGCTCAGTTTCTCATTGGTAGAGTAGGGGGTCCTACTACCTATACCTCAGAGACCTGGCCAGGATTTGACTTAAAGGACTCAAGAAGCCTGGCCGACAGCGAATGTTCCATAAAGCACCAAACCAATGTGTGTGGCCATCCTGAGACCTGCCTATGGCCTTCTGGCTGTGAGTTCCCCCCCTTGTGAGTGGTGAACCTGAGCCCCTGGAGAAAGGCTGGGCCCTCCAGACAGGCAAGAAAGCCTAATGTGGGGAGGCACGGTGGCTTTACTGGTCCTGCCGACTCTCATGGTTGGCTTTGACCTACCAAATATTTCTGTTGGGTTCTTGAGCTGGCAGTGAGACAGCAAAGCTAGGAACCCTCTTCTCCCCAGAGAATAGGTAAAAGAAATATTTTGAGAACTCTGAGCAAAAGCAGCTGGCTCTTGGAGAGGAATAAGGCAAATTTTTGCCTTCCTGCTGCTGCATAAGAGACACTGACTATACCCCTCAGAGATAGTAACACCCAGTTTCCTGGATTCCACAGTGAAGGGAGATAGCTGCTGGGAATCAGAGCACATCTGAAGCACTAGAAAGTGCATGGGGTCTGAGGATGATATGGAAATGTCCAACGAAAATTGAGAGTCAAATAGGCATTCCTGTTCCAGTTACTTGCAAATCCTAGGAGTGTGTTTTATTGTATTCTGGTTCTTTCTGAATTCAAGGGTTTCTCATTTGCAGGAAGACAGAGAGCTTATTCAGAAACTAGCGAGAAAGAACACAAAAGCTGGCAGGCACTTTAGTGCCAACTTTTAGGTCTTGCTGCCGCAGGTAGCACGTGATTAAGTTGGAGCTGAGACACTTCTTGGCTGCTGTTGCTTAGCATATAATAGCTCCATTCACTGAGCCTATGAGTGCCAGAAGCTTGCCATGCATTAGCTCATTCCTTTCTTTTTTGTGCCTTTCTGGCTGGATGGGAACTGGGGAGGGTTGCTTGGGCTATGGGGTCATTGCCTGGCCTTGTGGGAGAGAGGAAGGTGTGGGCAGAAATCCACTTCTTGTTCTGAATATATATAAAGTCTTCGCCAACTATATCACCTTCCAATCTCTTTCTCAGTGGCCTGGTCTCTGTCCCTCTCTCCAGATGATATAAGTGTTTGGAGATGGTGCTTTTGGAAAAGGCATTAATGATATAAGGAGAAAAAGTAGGTGGCCCAGTTTTTTTCCATTCTGATACAGGTTAAGCTGGTTTCTAGCATGTGCCTCATTCACTTTGTTTTCTCAAATCCTCACCCCCTGCACCCCATAATCAAGAGTATTTCATTACTGGGCTTCACAAATGAGGGAAACTGATTAGAATAATTACCTTTCAGCTCATTCCAGGCATCCCACTTGGCCTTGCCTTTGAGGTCCAACATCCCAGGACGTTCTTCAACAAAAAAAGGAAAGCCATTAGATCTCCTTCAAGTTTTAATGGAAAACTTTTTCAACTTCCTTGTCATTAAAGCCATCTTTTATTACACCTTTCCCTTCTATACTCTGTTATGAAGTTAAACAGGTCCAGAGCGTGTACAGAAATCCAAACTTAAAATCTAGAGAAAGAGAAGACTGTTTTTGTTACTAGAGTGTCCTTGCCTTCTAAGTTAAATAACTCCAAAACTTCTCTGTTAAAAAAAACTGTATTATACTTTAATTAAAACAAAGCAAAACAGACAAAAACACAAATACTACATCCATGCATGTGGCTTAAAATCCAAACGCTACAAAGGGGAGTAGTATAAAGTTTCCCTCCCACCTCATTTCTCTGTCTCATGCATTGTTGTTTTCAGTTTTCTGGGTGTCCTTTTAGGTGAACTGTATGTTCATATCTTTGCCCCATTTTTCTACCAATTGTTAGTCTATATCTTGTTGATGTGTGGGAGTTTTCTCCTGAGGGCAAGTTTTAAGTTATACCATGATTTTATGCGTATAGAATTGTTATCAGTTGTACTTGGGAAACACATGCACTACTTCCCTGTTGACCTAGTTTACAGCCATGCTGAGAACAAAGACTAGAGGAACAATCACAGTGCTCACAGCCTGTATCAGAGGAACATCATATCTTCCTAAGTGCTTTTAGGGAAGCATTACCAGGGAGAAACCGCACCGGCAGTCATCAACCAAGTCCTTGAGCAGCACATCTCAACAGCCCTCTGCAGTGACGGGAATGTTGTACACTTGCACTATCCAATCAGGGGCATTTGTCACTTGTGCAACTGAGTTCCTAGAATGGTGGTTTCTGTGAGTGAAGACTTAACTTTTGATTTTATTTAATTTTAACTATTTTAGTTTAAATTTAGATAACCACATGTAGCTAGTGGCTACTGTACTGGCCTGTGAAGTCCTAGAGTGTGCAGGTACCTCCCTGATCAGGAAGTGATAGATTCCCAAGATAGTCTACCTATCCTGTAAAAGCAGGTCAGGGGCAGTCTCTGTGAAAAATACTGCTTGGTTGAATAGGATCTCAGCTCCCCTGTGAGCACGCCGACTTCACCTCTCCTTTCCCTTCCCAGGATACAAAGCTTATAAACCCATAGTAAAACGTGCCTTTGCCATAAGAACTTTCTCAACTCAGTGCTTCCTGTGAACCCAAGTTTGATTTGACTTTGCTCCAGATCCTTACTTCTGGGCACCCTCTCCTTTACCTAGCTGGCTGGTAGCCAGCCTACCTGCTCCACCGCAACTGCAGTGGAATTGGAGGCCATGCACACCTTCCTGAACAGAGAGGGGTAGGGGTGACCTCTTTTTGTGGTGCCATGGCCACCACCTCCGAGTCCTTGCATGGACTGAACTGTGCTGTTACCTCAGTATATACTCGAGTTTCAGGGACTTTGAGAGCAGAGTGAAAATTGGCCAAGGCAGAAATGGCAGTATTATAGAATATGGTATATTCAAAATATGGCCTCAAAATCTGCAGCAAGGTTTTTCAACAGGGAATGGTCATCAGGAACTGTTTCAGCCAAAATACTCTGACTTGCCCCCAGGAAGCCAGCTGCTTCACTGCTCCTGAGTTAGGCTTGGTCCCACTGCCAAGTGCTCTGAGATTTTGTCCTTGCCTACCTAGGGTGGAAGCAGTATGTTTCAACAAAGCTACTACTAAGCTGAGAGTGCCAGGGGTGGTCTTTAGAGCTGGGGCCCTTTGCTTCCTCCCAAGTAGGTGAGAAATGCTCTTGATAGTCATAAAGTCCTTCCAAAACTAGGATTTGAATTCTGCTACCTGAGCTACCAAGAACAGTACAGGGTCTGTAAACCAGGAACATGTCTCTGGGGAACCTCTCCCAGTTTAAATTGCTGGAACATCATGAAAAATTACCATGCCTCACCCAAAGAGTAGGACCTTGGTGGTTTAGAGTGAGGTTCCCACAGATTAAGAGTTTCAGTACCAATCAAGGCTGCTGAGTTACCTTCGATGAAGAGGGGCCCTCCCAAACTCATCTCAGCATACCTGTATTTATGTCACCCACAGTTGCTTGTTTGTAGCGGCTGTAGATGAACAGCATCTCATCATCTGCTGGCTTGGTCTTGAGGTGCTTGACCTCCTCAGCAGCTTTGTCAAAGTCAGCCTAAGTGTGAGGGAGAGGAGAGGCCTGAATAGAGCTCAGTAATGGGGATGCAGAAGTTGCAAAGGAGTTACACTCCTGTAACACAGGGGAGGAAAAGCAGCACCCCCTCAAATGTCTCCCTTTTCTACACAACAGGGCACCTGAAAGATTCAGCAAAACAAAGACGGGAAGCACACAGCTTCACTTATTTGATCAACAACTATGTAAAGAGAGGTCTCACTATACCAGATGTCAGGTACTGGAAATACAGTGGTAAAAGACACAGGCTAAGGCTGCCTGTACTGGGAGTGTAGTGGGCAGGAAAAGCACCGTGGCCTACTGCCTGGCCACTACCAGGTCACACTCTGGAATGGCTGGGGTCCCAGTGAAGCCCTGATCTGTGGACAGGGGTGGCACGGGTGCTTGAAACAGCTGAGAAGGGGGTAGGGGGTATGAGTGCAGGAGGGTCAGCGGCCTGAGGCTGTTGGGACTTTCCCCTGAGGTCGGGGCATCCAGTGCCAACCTCTGCCCTAGTGCAGGACTGGAGAGAGAAAGAGAGGAGACAAAGGTCGCCCCACACAGCTCGGTCTCGGAAAAGCGTCTACATGCAAAGGAGCTAAAGGCCTCTGGGTCACCTCTCCCTCGGCGCACCCTCCCCTTCCCGCACGCCGGACACTGGGCCCCTACTTCTTCTGACCTCCAGGCTCTAAGGAACGGCCTCCTTGCTTCCCCACTCTGCATGGCGCCCTTACTTCCGTCCAGTCCTTCTTCGTGGGGAACTCGGTACCCTTATTCCTTCAATCTATGCAACTCTCTACGTTTAATCTTTCTACCTCGGACCCTCGCCTGCTTCACCGCGAAGTCTACTCGATGGGCAACTTCCCAGTAGTTACAGTGTGGAGAGCAGTGCTGGGAGCCCCAAACCAGAAAGTTTCGCTCACAAGGCTCTGTCCAAAGAACTGGGCATGGGTCCAGGAAGAAGAGAGGAGCCGGGAAGAAAGAGACCTTTTAGGGTCCTGCTGCGGGTGAGCCCCGACACGGGCTTCCCGCCCCGTCACACTTTCGTAGCCAGGCTGGGTACGCGTTATACCTGAGACATGCCGGCGGGATTACAGGAAGCTGGCGGAGGTGGCGAGGAGCTGGAAGAAGCAGCCCAAAAATCCACCGGCGGCGCCTTTAGAAGCGCAGCCGCAGGCCACCCCAACTTGGCTCAGCGAGCGACGGACAGCCAATCAGAAGCCAGTTTTACGTTAGGGCGTGGCCACCTTCTAGGGACCGGCCAGCCTCGCCCGAACCCTTGTGGGTGGGCTCGCGCACGCGCAGACAAGAAACGAAGGGAACTCCGGGAGCAGGTGTGGACTGCGGAAGTAGGGCGCATGTGGTGGAGAAAGCGCTGTGGCCGGAACTGCATTCAGTCCTATCCAGTTGTAGGGAGTGGCCCCCCAGGGCAAAGTAGAGGGGGTGAAGGCTGAAGAGCAGAGACCTTTAAATTTGTTATATTAAATCCTGTGCCCGGCGGGCGCAAAGAGGCCAGAAGTTGCACCACTGGATGAGGAGCCTCTCAGGTTTGGGGAGTGCGAGAGGGTCCCCGGTTATTTCAGGAATCTAGAGGAGCTTCCTAGAGAATTGCGCGATGACGCGAAGCTGAACTGGTCCCTAGAAAGGCGAAGCCAAGGCCTTGTCTTCTGAGCTTTCGGCACGTTTGCCCGTGGCCTTAATTTGTAGCCTTGTTTTCCATCTGGTGCTTTAAAGACAGGGTCAGTGTCTTATGTATCTTGACTTTAACACTTGACCCGGGCCTCGTGCCCAGCAAACATCGCTTTGTGAATAACACTTTGATTCATTCACAAATATTTACTCCACTCTTGTCAGGTAACTCGCACAGTTCTCGGCCTTGGGGATACAGCAGTGAACAAAACAGGTAAATTCTTGCATTCCTAGAACTTGTATTGGGAATAATAGTTAATAAGTTAAATAGAAAGTTTGTTAGAGGATAGGGAGTTGGAAGTTTACAGTTTTACATGGGAGGCGTGAGTGAAGGGTTAACGGAAGGCAACATTTGAGAGGAACCCTCTAGGACTAGAGGGAGCATTCCAGGCAGAAAATTTGGTGTAAAGATGAGAGCGGGGAGCGAGAGAAGGAGTGAAAAGAAATGAGGCTGAAAAGTTAGGGAGATAGCAGGCTGATTAGATGATGGAGAGCCTGACCTTTATAGAGACTAAGACTTATTCTGTGTGAGATGGGAAGTCATAGGCTTTTGAGCAGAAGATGATGAGACTGAGGGGGGCAGGTCTTTGCTAGGTTGTTACGGAGACTGATGTTTTCCATGGGAACAGAAAGGAGCAGCACAGATGGGTGGGAGAGTTTGAGGGTGATGGCTAAGAACGTAAAGGGAGAATTTCCTGGTGGTTTTAAGGGAGTAGGTGAAGAGAGGGAATTGATGGAAAATTCTCTGGAGATCATCAGAGAGATCATTCCTTTCTAATTCCTAATTTGTGATAAAAGGACTGGACGACAAATCTTTCCTTGTTTACAGCTGTAGGTGTTTAGAAAGAAAGACCAGGCGAAGGCTTTCAGAAGTAACTTACTAACTTAATGTGGGTCAGGCTTTATAAAATGGGAAGAAATAGACGTATAATAGCAAGGAACAAATCTAGAGTCTTCAGTCTATCAATAATTTTGTTTGAGAACACAAAGTCAAACAAATTAAGAAAAGTCTTGGAGTTAAATTTGGAGAAATTACATGTGAATTGTAGGAAATGTAGTTTTCTTCCAAAATGACAATTCAGAGCTGTTTTTTCCCTCTGAGGCCCAGATAAAGCCTAGATTCACTTTTGCTCCATCAATGGTGCTTGCGGCTTCCTCGATGGAAATTCAGAGTATTGCCTGTGTGGGTCAGATTTGCAGTAAACTGTATCTACTAGTCACATTAGGGGGCAGGGGAATTTAATTAGTTAACATTAGGTTATTGTGTTTGGTATATTTGAAAAGATTAGGTACTTATAATAATGTAATTTTAAAGATGTTCCTTAGAGCCCTTACTGGTGTGGCTTGGTGGGTTGCATCCTCCTGCAAACGAGAAAGGTGTCCGGTTCTATTCCTGGTTAGGGCATATGCCTGGGTTGCAGGCCAGGTCCCCATTTGGGGGCGTGCTAGAGGCAGCCAATTGATGTTTCTCTCAAACATTGGTGTTTTTCTACTTTTCTTTCTCCCTCTCTTCCCTCCCTCTAAAAATAAATAAATAAAATATTTAAAATAAAATAGAAGTGTTCCTTAAAGATTGGTGGTTGTGATTGAGTTTTGACTTGAGTTAAAAATTGTAGAAAGCAAGATTAATGTTTTATCTTGGCAGTCTCCAATTTAAGTGGGGTTGATTTGTTGGTTACTTGTTTGGAATCTGTCTTTCTTAAAAAAAACCCCACAACTTTCCCCAAGGTGGTTTTGTGCCCAGGTGAGTCTACAAAAGTTGCTTAAAGCAACTGAGACATGGAACTATATAAGGATTGAGGATCCTAGGGATCAAGATGCTAAGTGACCTTGACAGGGAGGAGGAATGTCTTTTCCTTTTTATGGGGCCCACTGTAGGCCAAGTGTTGATGTACCCAAAGGTGTGCTCTTGGCCTACTTCTTGCTTCCATCCCTCACTTCTCAGTGACTCATATTTGGAACTGGGTCAGTAAGAAGTGACTCCACCTATGGAAGTGCTGCCTGAAGCCCTTCCCTTACAACTTCTATTCTAGGGATTGGAATGACACTTAGCTTTTAACATAGAAATATCTATGTTAAATCCCAGATGCAAAAAATTAAATGGGATTTAATTTTTTAAAATCCTTATCCAAGGATATATTTATTATTTTTGAGAGAGAGGAAGGGAGAGGGAGAGAGAAACATTGATCAGTTGCCACCTGTATGAACCCCTATTGGGGATCAAACCCGCAACCCAGGTCTGTGCCATGAGTGGGAATTGAACCCATAGCCTTTTGGTGTATGGCATGATGCTTCAGCCAGCTGAGCCTCCTGGCCAGGGCTGGGATTTAATGTTTAAAAATAAATTTCAGAGTATATTTGGGACCAATAAACTATATGAATTTTTAGTAATATACTTCGACCGTGTTAGAAAACTGCTATTTGTATCTGGAAAAAGTGTAAGTTCCTCAGTTCTGTTTATACCCTTGTTAGCAACTGTCACACTTTGTCATTATTTTGTTTCCAGTTACTTTTATTTTAGTTTATTCATCTGTCTGAGCCCCCTCTACATAAGCCAGGGAGGGTAGGGATCATGATGTATTGGTCAATACCAGTCTCCAAGTGACTGGCACTTCATAGGCACTCAACTAATGGTAATTGAATGAAAGAAGTGTTTTTCTATGTGTGAAACGTATTCCTTCTGATTAGCCGTGAACTTGAAAACCAATTAAGTTGATTAGAACTGAACATGAAACTGGGCTAAAGTGTTAAGTTGGCTAAAAAGTTTGTTACTTTTTTCCCCCTACTGTGACTCTGGTAGTGCTTCCTTGTCTTTAACTTCATTTGAAACAATTTTGTTAGATTGTATTGTGACAGCTATCATATCAGTGTGCATTAAAAAAAAAAACCTTATCAAAATTGGTGAATTTTTGTGCAGCCATTTTAATATTGAAGATGGAAGAAGATACGCAACATTTTGGGCACATTGTGCTTTATTAGTTCAAGAAAGGTAAAAAAGCAACTGAAGTGCAAAAGAAAGATTTGTGCAGTGTATGGAGAAGGTGCTGTGACTGATTGAATGTGTCAAAAGTGGTTTGCAAAGTTTTGTGGTATATTGATATTTTAGCCAAAAGATTTCTTTGCTGTGGGGCTGTCTTAATGCATTGGAAGATGTTTAGCTGCACCCCTCGCCTCTACCCACTAGAAGCCAATAGCAGGAAATAGCTGACATACTAAAAATATCCAAATCAATAAAGTTATTGGTGAAAATGAAAACTGTCTTCTGTTTTACCAAAAAAACTAAAAGGACTTTTTGGCTAACCCAATACATGTCCAAGAACTCTGGTGCAAGGACCATGTTATCTCTCTGTGGAGATTTCCCAGCCTTGGAAACAGAACACCTGAAATGTTAAGGGAAGATACGGAACCTGATGAGCCAGTCAGCCCTAATCAACCTCTCCTGATTAGTAGAGAGGCTACTGTCACAGTAACAGCTTGTCCCCAAGTTCTTGGGATACCAGTTTTGACTCTTGTCAGAGTCAGTCAGGCAAGATACGTTAACAGTGAAAGCAGTTCTTGCCCAGTGGGTGTGAATAGTAGTTTAGTAATAGGTTTCTTGTTATAAACTAAACCTCTAATTTCTGAAACTAAACTATCATTTAAAAATGGACTACAGTTATAGTAAAGCTTTACTAGAAGGCAAGGGTTACAGTATTAACAAATGATGAATTATATTCTTTTGGTATTTATTTTCCAGTTTCTTGGAATGTGACTCCCAGGAAAGCTGGGAGGGGACTAGTGTGTTGTTATAAAAGGAGGGAGGCGCTTGGGAAATGCTTCTGGGAAAGGAGTGGGGAGGGGTGGGCAGATTTGGAGGTCTTGGTTTTATGAAACCTGAGGGAGGTAAGAGCTGACCCCTCAGCTCTTAGGGTAGGATAAAAATGCAGCATAACTTTTCTTTCCTTTGTCCCTCCCTCCCTCCCTTCTCTTCTCTTTTGTGTCTTCCTTTTCTGATAGTATAACTGCAGTGAGAGGAGGTTTCAACTAGTCCCTCTGCTTTGCCATTCTCTTTAGGTGTTCATATTCAGAGGCATGCAGCAAGTTGGGTGTAAGAAAAGAGAGAGAGAGAGAGAGAGAGAGAGAGAGAGAGAGAGAGAGAGAGAGAGAGAGAGAGAGAGAGAGAGAGAGAGAGAGACATGCACATGTGTGGTCTCTGTTCCCCTAACCTTTTTCTGCCCAGACAACATGGTAGGGTGGTGGTTTGGGCTGAGGTGAGATGTAGAAACCAAGGCTCTGAAGCAGGGGCTTCTGTTGGGGAAGAGTTTTATACTGGCTAGGAGTATGGAAGAAGCCTTTCTTTAGAATTACTTAAACATAAGCTTGTCATACATTGGTCAGGTGCTGCCTGTTTTCTGTTTAGAAATACTTAGGATTATGGGCAGGAATAATGAAGCACTTTATGTTATCTTGAGTTCAGTACTGCAGTTCTTATTTATCTTCATTAGAAAGTGTAAACTCTCTTCTGAATCTACATTGTCTTCTTTGCTTGTTTCCTTAGTTCCTAGTTACACATGACAAACACTTAGTAAATGCTTTGGAATTAGTGTTTAGAGGTGAATTTCATAGCACTTGTCAACAAGAAAATTAGAAATATTAAAATTGTCGACAAATGCTTTGGCTGACATTTCCCATGGAGACAAATGCCATTTAAAAAAATATTTTGAGGTTATGCCATAAAAATACGCTAATTTTTATTTTGAGATAACTATAGACTCGCATGCATTTGTTAAATAGCAGAGATCCCTTGTATCCTTTACCTGCTTTCTCCCAGTGGTAACATTTTGAAAAACTATAATGCATACCACCATCAGTACATTGATTTTGGTATATTGAGGATACAGAACATTTTCATGAAGGATCCCGCATGTTGTTACCGTGTGATTTTCACAACCACTTCCCTCCTGCCTTTACCCCTCCTTAGCTTTTTTCTTAATCCTCAGCTGCAGATATGTTCATTAATTTATTGATTTTCACAAGTGAGGTAAGGAGAGAGAGAAAAACATCAGTCAGTTGCCTTCTACATGCACCCCGACAGAGGATCAAAACTGCAACCTACGTATGTGCCCTGACAGGGGATCAAACCTGCAGCCTCTTTTTGTGAGGGACAAAGCTCCAACCCACTTAGCCATCTGGCCAGGGCCCTCCTTAGCTCTTGGCAACCAGAAATTTGTTCTC